CAAAATGTGCAAGGCGAATCGACCGACTTCCTTACGCGTGTATCGCGCCTACAGGTGGATGTTCACGTGTGTACGTGAACGAGAATGATGCACGCGACACCCCTGTCTCGCGGATATTTGTGCAACTCCTTTCTTACACGCGGGGCGTGTCTAATACGCCGAGGTCTCTTTTGCTGTCATGCCAGAGCCCCTCGAGATTCTTTAGGAAATGTCAGCAACAACGAACATTCCTCCTTGTCAAAATCTTGACATTTTGAAAGGTATACAGGTTGGATCGCTTAAATTTAAATCTAAATAACTCTGTTGTTTCGAGAGACATGGATGAACTTCGTTAATAAAAGTCATCCTTTACTAAGGGGACCATGGTGCGGCAGTGATGATTTTTTTTCTTTTTTTTTTAATAAAAAAAGCTTTTTCAGTTAATTACATCATTTCGCTTAGAATCATTAGAAATCATAAGTTTTGAACGAATTATAATTAACGAATCGATTTGTAAATTGAAGTTTGCGATTCGAGCCTTGAGATAGAAACATATACTACATATGTTCAGATCATGAACAATCGTAACTTGTTGAGCGTCAACAACTATTTTGCGACTGCAAAAATTTGCGAAAGAGAAAAATATGATTTAATAAATTATATAACTGTGATATATATAATACAAATAAAACTACAATATAATAATGATATATAATCTATTCTTTTAATACATTTTTTTAAAGCGAAACATAGCGTTATGATAATATTATTCGAATTTTCACAGAATCGGCAAAAATAATCAACCTTTGTCGGCAAATATACGTAAATGTACTTGCTCTAAACACAAATAAATGTGAACCGTAAACAGATGTCACTCGTGTTTAGCAGACTCTTTGACTACGTGGCGTGTCTAATGTGTCCAACTGACTCCTACTGTCAAAGCCTACATGTCCTTTTTCGTTTCCCAAAGGAAGTACAAGACCGTTACTTGTTTTTCAAGGAGTGAATGACGAGTGAACATTTTTCCCCTGTTTCTGATACGTCGATCTTCGATCTAAATTTGACACTAAATAATGAAACATCAGTCACAGCAAATCTTTAAGCTAAGCAGACAGAATTAGTTTCTGAGATA